GATGACAGCAACAAGGTAAAAATTCTTTTGCTTTTAAACTCTTTTTTTTATTATTATTGTTCGAAACTTGTATTATCTTCATGTTACACGCATATAATATGTACTCTTTATGTCACATCCCATTCGTATTGATCAGAAAATAGGCCGAGCACCATCATTGTTTGCACAACAAAGAATGATTTAATTTATTATTAATGCTAATTTTAGAAATCTGGAAACTAAAAAAATCAGTCGCATGAGAATTCAGTCGACAAATTGACACGCTAACCCAAATTTGCAGATTTTTGCAAATAATTTTCCAGATTTGGTCAGTGTGCCGGCTGAATTTCATACATTGAAAGTTCATCTATAATCGATTAATTGCTTATATTTAACAATTGGTCAGCTTAAAACAAAAAATTTATATCATTTTAAAAATGTTAACCGATAAGTTTTATAGTTCATGACTCAAGCTTCAAAAACTTATCGGCTAGTTTTTTCTTAAACTAAAAATTAGCAAGCAGAGCCTTTTAACATTTTGAAAATTCCAAATTTTGTTAACAATTAAATCAAGTTAAATTTTGTGTAACAAAATTTTGTATTATTAATTTCCTTTTTTTTTTATAATTTACATCAAAAGAAAATCATTACCAAACTTGATTATGTAATTCAAATATTGTAACATGAAAATTATTATTTCTGAGCATAACCCTCAAAATTTACATAATAAAATAATAAAATAATATCATAAAATCTATAGTTTCGGAGAATAAAACATATGATTTTCAATACTTTAACGCATCTAGATTTTATTTCTTTCGTTATTTTTTTTTCTAGATCTATATCGGGATAAAAAGTGCCAAAATCGGAAGTTGCATTGGAAGAAGAATGGTTAAAAATACCTTACGAAAAATTCATTGAAAGCATGTCAAGAAGAATTAAGGCATGAATTTCTAATGATGGTAGCCCACTCGAAAAACATCGTTCACAAACTTTTGTCGGGTAGTATATATGATGAATATAATAGCAAAATTTGACTTTGAGGTCAGATTATTTTCGTTTTATTAACAACCTGCTTTAAAATTTTTCTTGTATATTAATATATAAAAAAGTTGTATCCTGGCAGATCATCAAGAATTTACTATGG